CTGTCCGCATCCTCTGCAGCGCGGGTTCAATTCCCAGCCAGCCAGGAAGATTCCCACATGGCGCGGCAGACCTCTCCTGTCTCGCCGCTGCTCCCCTCAGCAGTGCCTTCAGTCTGCCTGTTCTGTTCCCTGCTCTGTCTCTGGTGAATTCTCTCACCCTCTCACCCTCCTGTGCCTCTGTGCTCTTGTATAAATATAAATAAATCTTTAAAAAAAAAAACCACAGGTAATCTCTCTGTACAGCCAAAGTGCCTTGTACACAAAGCACTAAAGCAGCATAGCATTGAAGATAAATAAACCTTAAAAAAAAAAAAAGAAATGAATGGGCTTACAATTTCACTCTCCAATCAATCGAGTAATATCTTTGGTTTAATTCTGCCATTTTTATGGAGGAAGGCAAGAAATGTTGATAAAATAATGCAGTGAATTATGGATTTGGCCAAATTAACTAAATTTGGTGTATCTGTTTACTACTTAATTGTATTCTCTGCTCCCCGCTCCGGCTCTGGTGAATTCTCTCACCCTCCTGCGCTTCTGACTGTACCCAGTGCTTGTATGAATAAATAAATAAATCTTTAAAAAAAATAAAGATTTATTTATTTATGCATACAAGAGCTGGGGTACAGGCCAGCAGTGCAGGGGGTGAGAGGATTCTCCAGAGACAAAGTGGGGAACAGAACAGGCAGACTGACTGAAGTACACTGCTGAATGGAGCAGTGGGCGAGTCAGGAAAGGTCTGCTGCGCCATGTGGGTTGCTCCGTGGCCAGCCGGGGATGGAACTTGTGCTGCAGAGGCTGGGGACAGCTTCATAGGTGTGTCTTAATGCCCTGCGCCTCCAGGAAGGCCCTGTATTTCAATCTTTATTGAGGTTTTATAGTAGCATTGTTCACTAAATAAAAAACTGAAATGGATCTAAATGTCCAACAACAGGAGACATATGTGATTTTAACACTTTCACTGAGAAAGAGTAAAATTAAAACTCATTTATAATTATATATTCTGTTTGCTCTGTATCTAAAACTATCAGTCATATCTTTTATGCATTTATTTGACATCCACTTTTAGTATAAGTCCCTTATCTGGTTGGTAAAGCTTATTTTTAATCATTTAGCAAAGTTTTTTCTTAAGGCACAGTAAGTAAACACATTTTAGAAAAGAGTTATAAGAAACATCAAACATAGTTTCTGCATCTATGCAGTTTCAGCACAGCAGTCAAGAGCACAGGTCTTGAACTCTGGCTCTGCTACAGCAACTAGCTGCGTGACACTATGAGTCTCCATGCCTCAGTTTCCTCATCAATAAATGGGGAGAACAGCACCCACCTCATAGCGATATTGGGGGAGTTACATTAGAGCGTACACATACAGCACTGAGGACTACTGAGCATCCAGTGCAACAGTCAGCTGCCACTACCACCACCACCTGAAGTCATAACGACAGAGCTTCCAGGAATCAAGTCTGCTCAGTCTCCTTTCGCCTGACTGCTATTTTAAAAAATGTTCTCCCTCCGTAAGCTCACTTTGCTTTCAGAGCCAACACAGTGATCAGGCTGTGCCCTTTGCTGCACTGGACACACTGGACAAGCTCCCTCGCAAGGCTTGGCCACAGTGGCTCTCCTACTTAGGCTGAGGGGGTTGTGGCCCCAGCACTAGTGCTACTCTGTGGGGAGCGAGGAACCCTCGGAGGTCCTGGTCTAATAAGTGATACAGGAATTGTTCTGAGATTCCTCTCAGGCTCATTCTGAGGTTCCCAGGTTCTATGATTATTTACCAGGTCACGGCGTGCAGCCTGCAGTAGCAGTCTTGCCAGGTACCTGCTGTTACACTCTGAACTGAGGTGGACACGAATACCTTCACTGAAGAGCAGAAGTCTTTCATTTCTTCCTGGGCTCTGAACAGTGAATTTCCATAGCAATAAAGCAAGTCTGGTGACTCAACTCTCTCAGCAATTCTAGAAAGGAAATTGTGAAATGATTGGGGTCTGCTGAGAAAAGTACATCCAGTTTGCCAAAAGGGGGAGCATGGGAGCAGAAAGCAGATGTTTGCCCACATCTTAAAAAAAAAAAAAAAAAAAAAAAAACCACCACCAACCTTGTTTGGATTCCCCAGTGTTTTAGTTTTTAATTTCTTTCGCAAGAACAAGGGGGACATAGTCAACTTTCTCTTTTTAAGACTGTCTTAAGACAGAAGGATTGAAGACTAATGATATACAGTGAATTTTGAACGATTCCTTTCTATCCTTCCCTAGTCTCCAGCCTGCCTGCCACACACAGAACAGCTCTCATTAAGTTGCTCTCATTAAAAGGAAAGGGGGAGGAGCCAAGCCAGTAGCTTCTCCAGAGGTGAGGATAATTACATACTTAAGAGTAGTACATCTTTATTTCTCTCCTGGCTGCCAAAGATTGTTTAAAAAAGAAGGATCCGAATATTTAATCTAGATCTCACCTTCACTAAAACAATGGAGAAGTTAGTGATATAACCAAGTTTATTGAAAGTTAATCATCTCCGTGCTAACTTCCCCAGTCCCTAGGGCTGAACACTCCTTCATGCCAAGCAAGAGGAATGATGTCAGTGCCTGGAGTCCTTTGTAGAAGCAAGTCTTAGAATCACACTCATTAGTCACGACCATGGGGAGCCTGGTAACACAAAAAGGTTTCCACAAGACACACATCAACAAGGAGAGAAGTTCTCCATGCAGCTCTGCTTCTGCTTCTGCTTCTGTAAAGGCAGCTTTGGCAAGTGCATATTTTCAAATACCCACGTGTGTATTTTCAAATTCAATTCAGAAGAATTCTGCAAATTTAAGTATTTTTCGTATGAGCAACACATTCAGTCTCTTATTTTACTCAAATTATCCAAAAGTGCTCTGTATCATGTTAGCCTAAAAACTTAAGAAACCAACATCCTTGGAAAATGCACAAGGCTTACAATTTCCCCATAAATCTATCTATATTATATAAACAAAGTAGGTAGAATATACATTTTGATTTGTTTGATAATTTAATGACCTCTATTGTTATTGTTGCCCCCTGAATTAAAGCAAAATGACTTGATTTAAAAAGTATTAATCTAAAGAAGAAAGTGAAATGTTCTGTAATTTCCTGAGATCTCGTTTGATTCTCACTTGCCTTTGAACAATGTTCTAAGACCCTTCTGGTATACTCTATGGATCTGGGAATACATGATCTGGGATTCAGTTGTTAATAGATGTATAACAGAAAAGACATCATCCTATTGTAAGATTTCCTCTTAAAGAACAACCTTTAAAGTTGGATTATTTCCTGAACTAACACAGAACGCAAGATAAGCAGTGGCCTTTTGAATTTACAGTTTACACAGTCAGTCCCATGCAGCAGTTGGCAACACCCAGACCCAGGAGGAGGAAATCTGTGAACACAGAAACATATTTCACAGGCTACATTTTTCTCCTTTATTTGGGCCATCATTTGGACAACAGATTACTTTCTAAAATGATTAAGTACTCTCATCAATTAGCTAGGTAGAGTATCAATCCCGAAGGAAAAATGTAATAAGCTCTTCTTTTGTAAGTGCCAGCTGTCAAAAACTGTCAGTTAGTCAAGCTTTTTAATGTTCCAATCAAATCACACGATGAGTGGAAAGTCACTGCTCAAAACCCATTAAGCTGCTTTGCTAAATGTCCAATGTTACATAAAAACTATAAATAACTTAGTACTTTCAGGTTTTTTTTTTTTCAATTTGCTTTTCTCAAAGTAATAATGATGTTCTGCTTCAGTTAATAAAGTCATTTTGGGACTGCCTTAGTGTTTAATCTACATTCTCTTTCTGTGGGGAACAAAGATGGCAAGCAGTAATCAAATCAGAATCAGAATATTCCTTAGAGTATCTGTCATTAACAATTTTTAAAATTAAGAGCACCAGAGATAGTAAAGACTAAAAATTTTGATCACAAAGCTTTTTAATAATCTTGCAAGTTGACTTTACTTTGGGGAATAAAATGCTGTTTCTAAATGGCATCTAGTCTTTTTCAAATATTTGCAAAGGAATTCATATGCTGATTAAAGGAACATCACTTACTTCTGGCTTAAAAATAACATGCCAAATAGCCAACACCAAATACATATTTTTATTGCAATGTTCAAAAACTGATTATTGAATTAAAGATGTTTGTTTCTACACGCTGAAGAAGTAATTCTTGGTCAGTGTATGGTTGCTCTGAGGGTGACCTAAAGGCACAAATAAGGATGCTGGTAGCAGACTCTTGCTTAAGTAAGACGCCAAAGTCAGTTGAGACCAGGTTTAAACCACTTAATAACAATGGAATGCTCCTTTCTCTTAAAATTTGTTAAGAGCAGTTTTTCCTACACTTTCTGGTGAGTCCAGTTCCTCCTTGCCCTGCGGACTCCATCTCTTCCCATGGCAGCTCCTGGATTAACAATGATCTCTAGCAACACTTTCAAACAAAATTTGAACACACTTGGGAACAAAGAAATATAAAGCTATAATCGAGTATGCGTATTTTGCATAGAGTAGGAGCAACTCTCTTCATTAAAAACGTATTGTTTTTTGTTTTCTTTTTTTCAGGATAGTTAAAAAAGAACACACCCAAGCTGGATATGCTGACAATTTGAAATTTGAGTTTTCAAAACCTATAGGCAAGATATTTTGAAAAATATATTGAAATTGAAATGAAATAAAGTATTACATATTAAATCAGTTATCTTTCTTTAAAGAAAAGTAAAAGAACTCTTCAAGTACCTCGTCCAGATGAAGCAGATGTTGGAAGCACTTTGAAATCTTGAATTTCACTTGAATTCTTGACTTTCACTTGAAATCTTGAATTTCACCTGTAATACTTGTGCACAGGATATCGCCTATACTCTATGACAATTTTTTATTTTTAAAATAAACACTCCCCAGACCTAAATATTATATTAGATTTTTGGTGAAAGTAAGTAAAAATCCTTATAACTGTAATACTATAACAGGAATATTTACTCAAAAAAGAACTTATCTTGACACAACTATATACTTCAAAAAGAAGTAGCCATTATATGCACATCATTTTATTTGCTTTTAAATTTACAAATAGAACAGATATGTTATTCAAGATATTAAAATTTCTTGAATTTTACAGAAGAAAAAGAAACTGAAGTGAAACTGTAGGAATTGCTGAGCTTCAGATAAATGTTTCTTCAAAACAAGAGATATTAGTTCCTAAAAGATTCCTCTAAAGTTAAAAAAAATTAAAAAAAACATTAAGCCATTGGGTTATTATTTTTTTTTTAAACTACACATTTCTTAATGGACATATGTTTACATTCACAGATAGTAAACTTAGTCTTCTGTCTCATAAAACTCAGAACACACCACTGATGTCTAAATTAAACAAAACAATGAAAGCCTCGTTTTCATATTAAAAAAAAACCCTTTAAAACCTAAATCTACCTTAACATTATTTTCCAAGAAAGCTTAATAAGGAATGTCTATTCTGCAAGTAAAATGTCATACAAGTCATTTTCAAGGAAAGAAATACATGGTGAGGTGATAACTTGTGCTAGCAGGACTGACTAAAGCCCGCGTCCTGACACCTGAATTCAAAGTATCAGCCGGTCCTCGCCTCCCTCCTGAATTACCTGACCAATGGATGTTTGGCTTTGTTGTTTCAGAAAGCACTGTTTCTTACATTCCATCAATTGTTCGAAATCACGCCACATTTTAACTTGTTTCATATTTGGACCATGACTTTCTCGAACAGCTTTTTGTTTCTCTTGGAGTTTCTGTCACAAACAACAAGAATAATTAAATTTCAGTTACAGGGATTTACTGGTACTGCTATAATGGTATGCATTGTAAACTTGATGAATAATAGTCAACTAAACCAGGTTCTCCTATGATGCATGACAACTCAGATTAATAAAATGTTATTTAACTTTATGACAGAGGTAAGACAACCTGAAGTTAAAAAGAACAGAAAAATATAAAAGGAAGGGGAGGGGGACATAAAGAGAGCCAGGAAAGAGTAACAGTACAGTATCATAGTGTAAAAAAAGTACAGATCTTGGAAGACTTGAATTTCAACCTTAGCTTTGTCACTATCTGTAAATAGGTCAATTTCTTTGGATCCCAGTTTTCTTGTCAATTAAGACAAATAATAGGGGAAAATTATAAAAGTATCTGCTTTATATTTTTTCATAGGACATGATACGGAAATACTGGTAAACTCGTGTTAATGTATTCTTTTCTGAATCAGTGTATGCTCTATATATGCACAAATAAATCAAACTCTACTCATATATTCCTTAGGGAGAATGTCTAGTAATTTTTTTGAAGTACACTATTAAATAGAACTAAATCCTTATCAGAATTGTTTGTTATTAATAGCTTATAAACACAGTTCCACCTGCCAATACTGTTCTACTTATTGACAATGAAATTATAAACAGAAATAAGAAAAATTTCCAATAAATGGCTAAACAAAAGACTAATGTAATCTGAGAGCAGATTTAAAGCACTTACTAAAGATTGCCCTCCCCAGCTATGACTAATGAAAGCAAAGTTAACAGCAAATAGCAGAGGAAACAAAACAGAGTTAATACAATATAATTTAAATACAACCAGCATATTTTTGACAAACTACCTGGTATGTAAATTTTTTTTTTTTTTTAAGATTTATTTTTTATTTACCTATACAAGCACTGGGTACAGTCAGAAGTGTGAGAGGGTGAGAGAATTCACCAGAGCCAGAGCGGGGAGCAGAGCAGGCAGAAGGACCGACGTACACTGCTGAGGGGAGCAGCCGGCGGCAGGAGAGGTCTGCGCGCCATGTGGGACCCTCCTCCCGTGGCCGGGGAGCAGCCGGGGATCGAGCCGGCGCTGCAGAGGCTGCGGGCAGCTTCGCAATCCAGCGCTCAACCGCTGCGCCACCGGGGAGGCCCCTGGTATGCAAATTTAAGTCTATGGTACAAATAAAGTATCTTACAACAAATATTTTTATCCTCATAATCTAAAACAAAGTAGTAAGAATTTTTAAGAGCTCTGAGCATGATTTTAAGGTTAAGGTACTACTGAAAACGGTAACATTTCTTATATTGAAATAATTTCTTTGTCAAAAATCCTAACAACCTTAAAAGTTATTTAAAGACCCAAAGACAGGATGTGGGAACTATCTGTGTTGGAAACACTACATTTAATTCGCTTTATAAGCATGTGTGTTTTTTTTTTTAAAGATTTATTTATTTATTTATACAAGCACTGGGTACAGTCAGAAGCGCGGGAGGGTGAGAGAATTCACCAGAGCCAGAGCGGGGAACAGAACAGGCAGAAGGACCGAAGTACACTGCTGAGGGGAGCAGCGGGCGGCAGGAGAGGTCTGCGCCCCATGCGGGACCCTCCTCCGGTGGCCGGGGAGTAGCCGGGGATTGAACCGGTGCTGCAGAGGCTGCGGGCAGCTTCGCAACCCAGCGCTCAACCGCTGTGCCACCGGGGAGGCCCAAGCATGTGTTTGAAACCTTTAACTTTCTGAATATATTTTGAGTATATAATTTATTTTTAATGCTACTATCATTTAATACAGATTTAGTTTGTTGATAGTTGCACAAAAAAAACTGTTGCTGATTTCACTGTTTTTAAAAGGGTGAGGTGGTGTGTACTGTAGGGGGGAAGTAACAGGTGCAGGCCCGTTCTGGCTCATGGTAATACCAAGTGCAGCACCAGAGGCTGGTCTAGCTTCAAAAACTCACATGACCCGAGGAGGGTGTGACATCAGTCTATGTTGGGTTGGAAGCCTTGGTTTTCCTTACTCTGAAAAGTGAGGCTTGTTCTGTTTGTCTTGGAAGTTTAGATCTACTCTAGAAGTGGTCTACAGGTCAAGGAGCCTTGTTTCTTAGTAATACTGCCTGACAGGTGGATGAGCTCCTCGATGGCTCGTTCTACTGAAATATACTTAGATTGCTACTGCTCTTCCCAAAGATCCTGCAGTAAAACACTGCACTGGGCAGGGTAACAATACATTTTATTTTATTTTATTTTATTGTTTTAAAGATTTATTTTTTTTTTCAGTACATTTTTTTAAAAAAAAATTTTATTTATTTATACAAGCACTGGGTACAGTCAGAAGCGCAGGAAGGTGAGAGAATTCACCAGAGCCAGAGCAAGGAACAGAACAGGCAGAGTGATGAAATACACTGTTGAGGGGAGCAGCGGGCACAGCAGGAGAGGTCTGTCGTGCCATGTGGGACCCTTGCCGGCGGCCAGGGATTGAACCGGCGCTGCAGAGGCTGCGGGCAGCTTAGCTTAGCGCTGCACCACCAGGGGAGGCCCAGATTTATTTATTTTTATACAAGAGCTGGGGTACAGGCCAGAGGCGTGGGAGGGTGAGAGGATTCACCAGAGAAAGAGCAGGGAGCAGAACAGGCAGAAGGACCGAAGTACACTGCTGAGGGGAGCAGCGGCGAGACAGGAGAGGTCTGCGCACCATGTGGGAATTTCCCTGGCTGGCCGGGAATTGAACCCGTGCTGCAGAGGCTGCGGACAGCTTCACAGCGCTGCGCTCAACCTGCTGCGCCACCAGGAAGGCCCAAGAACACATTTTAATGAGAATTAGCAAGTATGCTCGCATCTTTGTACAAATTCAGTTTGACAAGTATTTCTATACACATAGTATCCATCCAGACACTTTCCAAAAGAAACTGAGGAATATTTTCATATGAAAAAAATTACATTACTTAACATATGAACTATTGGGATGAAAACCAATTATTGGCAATCATACTCTATCCTAGTTAAAATACTGTCAAAATGAACAGAGAGAACAGATGAACATGTTTTAGAGAAATGATTAATTCAGATTTGGGACAGGAAATGTACTGGATGAACCTCAAACATTTTGTCACATCAGAAAGTAAAGAAGCCATACAAGTGTAGCAGGGTTGTTTTAAAAGGATTTGGAGCTAACTTCAAAAGGTATCTGCTGGCCAAACATGGGAAAATTTGAGCGCTGACAGGAATAGTAATTGCAATCGATCAAAACATATCAAATATATTAAATTAATTGTCCTATGAATTGTACCTTAGGGTGGGCAACCACATTGTTGGTAAGGAGAAAGTGTTCTTTATAAAATGATTCCAGTAAGTAAATGCAGAGGGAACAACAAAATTAGAATGTCACCACTTGGTAATCTGTAATGAATTACTGGATTTAGGGAGTAAGTAATAGTAGCTACCTCCTTACAAAAAAAGAGCCTCCTGACCATCTATGAAGTGTGCTGCCCAAATAACAAGTCAAATTTATTAGTCAAAGGTCTAGATATAACTACCAATGTGCAAAACTTACTCGGGCCAGAAGAACATGCTGAATGATACCACGGCATGCCATGGGCAAAGCTCAGGCTGTGGGACACCTATGAGGACAAATAACTCCTATTTTTTCTTTCTCCCAACACATACATGTAAAGAAAATGTAATAATATAACAAATGTAAAGAAAAAAGATGAAGGAGAAATAAAGAGAAAAAGAGACTTAAGAGATACAGCAACTAATAAAATGCGTGGATTCATATTAGGATCCTTATTTGAATAAACCACTAAGAAGTTATGAGACATGGTGCCTCCCTGGTGGCACAAGGGGTTAAGTCTCAGCACTATCAAGCTATCGCCAGTCATTGCAGCACGAGTTCGATTCCTGGCTGGCCAGGGAGATTCCCACATGGCGTGGCAGACCTCTCCTGTCTTGCCCGCTGCTCCCCTCAGCAGTGTATTTCAGTCAATCCACCTGTTCTGTTCCCCACTCTGTCTCTGGTGAATCCTCTCAGCCCCTCATCCCCAGCACCTCTGGCTGTAACCCAGTTCTTGTATGCATAAATAAATACATCTTAAAAAAAAAGAAAGAAAGATGATCAGATAAAATAAAAGGACCTCTGAGATTTGCCCAAAAATTATTTGGGGTGGGAAGTGGGTGGGACTACAGAGAAAATAAGACTAGTCACAAGTTTAATGATGACAGTTGGGTGCTGGTTACATGTAAGCTCATCACATCATTTTCATTGTTTTATATAGGCTTGAAATTTTCCATAATAAAACATTTTTTAAGTGGAGAACATATCTACCTTCTTTAGTAATTTTCCATAGCTTTCTACACCATTTGTTTTTCTGAAGTTTCTATTTACAGGCTTTGGGGAGCCAATTCAGTTTTTATATAAAAGCATATAGACATTGCTTTTAATAATGATTCAAACCAGAAAATGTAATAAGGGTGAATAATTTTGTCATCTCCAATTTACTGAGTCAGACCAATAGTTAAGATGCACAGTGCATTAAGTCTGAAACAAGGCAATTTTTCATTTTCACTTTCAGAATGAACAACCTACAATATACGTATAATTATTTCCAGGGTGCAGACTTAAGAATATTTGATCAGGGCCTCCCCGGTGGCGCAGTGGTTGAGCGCTGGGTTGCAAAGCTGCCCGCAGCCTCTGCGGTGCCGGTTTGATCCCTGGCTGCTCCCCGGCCACCGGAGGAGGGTCCCACATGACGCGCAGACCTCTCCTGATGCCACTGCTCCCCTCAGCAGTGTACTTCAGTCTGCCTGCTCTGCTCCCTGCTCTGGCTCTGGCTCATTCTCTCACCCTCCCACGCTTCTGACTGTACCCAGTGCTTGTATAAATAAATAAAAATAAATCTTTTAAAAAAAAAAAAAGAATATTTGGTCAATAATATAAACCTTTAAAAAGAAAGACAATGATATAACCATGTACTGAAAATCTGAAATTAGACACATTTCAAAAAAATAAATAATACATTCTTACCTTTCCAAGGTTTTCCTGTTCAGCAATATTTTTGGTATACTGTTCCCTAGGGAGTGAATATAATGATTTAGTTTCAATTTACTTCAATTGATTTGATTAGAAACTAAATTATAAATTAGCATATCTATCTAAACATACCAGACAATATAGTTCAGAATAGTAGAATCAGAATAAAACATTATCAAATACTCTCTTTCCCCATCTTTAGTCAGTTCTTCTGGTAAATAGTAATTTAAGAGGGAAAAAAGGCAAAACATCACTTAAGAAGTTAAGAAAATTCAAAATGTTAAGTACTATTTCTGGTTAATCTATCCCTAAAACAATGACAAAAAACAATGCCAACCCATTTGCTTAAATTATAGTTTGTTTTTGAAGATGTTTGCAGAAAGGAGAAAAGATACACATCTTAAATAAACATTAAATAAATTCTAACCCTGCAATTCCATTTCTAGGAAGTCATCCCACACAAAACTCTCAAAACATAATGAAGGTAAAAGCATAGGCTATTCACTTCAACATTGCTTATAACAGTGAAAAATCTGTAAACAGATTAAATGTTAATAGATGGGGAAATGTTTAAGTAAGTTATGGTACATCCATTCAAAGGAATAAGATAGAGTGATACAAAAGAATGAGGTAGTAGGTCTATAAATAAAGTGGAAAGAATTCTAGATAAACTATTAAGAGAAAAACTATATATGTAATTTAATCTTATTTTTATATACACACACATGAAATTTTCCCATGCATTTGCTAATACACATAAACACAAAGACATATTAGCAAATGTGTGGGGGAAGAGTATGGAATAATGCATACTAAAAAACTAACGGGAGACATTTGATGACTTGGCATAGTGGACAACATTTCATTTTTGGGTGTTGTACTTCCTAATGGTTACTTTTTGTTTTTAACAAAAATTTCTTTTATAAACTAAAAAAATCTGCAAATTTTAATGCAAAAAATATAAATAACATTACATTGCATTTTTAAGCAAAAGTCTATTTTACTATGTTTAATATATTTTAATAGTATATAAGTCAAAAAGTATGATTTATTGTGTTAAGGACAAAGATTGAAGGACAAGGACAAAGGAACCAACACAAAAGAAAGTAAGAGGGACTTTAGAACTCAAATTTGGATGGAAACAGTATGTTTCTGTGTAAAGCTACGAGATATTTAAGAAGAAACTGAATAACACAAAATTAGGAATCTCAAGAAATCATAAGCCACAAAGAGAATACTATAGCATCCGAAGTGATGGAGGAATTGCATTTACACAAAAAGGATTAGATTAGTGAGGGTAGGAGTGATTAGAATAGACAGAATAACAATAAAAAATACCCAAAGTCCTTACAGTGCTAAATCAAAGGTAGAATTTGTGCACAGGAATGAGGGCAGAACGAAAGAAACACAATTCTTTCTTCTGCCCTTTAAATTTATGTCACTAAGTCAAACTGCTTGCCTTTCTAGCTCTCCAGTGAAAACAGTGAGGAGGATGTAAATGACATATTGTTCAAGAGAAATTTATGATTATAGTTTAGGTAGCTCTAAATAATTAATTTATTACCCATGCATGAGATATGTCCAAATTGTTTCAGAATTTCCATATTTATAGTTCCTCAAGAAATCAACAGTCTCATGTTCTTCTCTCCCATAACACAGTACATATTTTTTTAATTCAATGAACTTATGCAAGAGGTAATAATGAAACACTTGTTATGTATCAAACACACTGTGGGATTCAGAAGACAGAGAGGGTCCTTGCCCTTCACGAACTCACACTATATAATTTCCAAAACACTGTTGCATACATTATATTAACTTGATTCTCTGTGGGATATGGTGTTCTCCTTATTTTGTACGTGAGGGAATTATTTGCCCTAGGGCACAAAACTACAATCTGGAAAAAACAGGTTAGAAACAAAATTTGAGTCCATTTTAGTTCACTGAAATAAAACATACTGCCTCTGTAAATGAAGTTAAATTTGCTGAGAATATTTCAAAACCAAGCTAATTTCTTAAGATATTTGGCCTTAGCAGAAAGTGTCCTAAAGGTAGAAAATGGAGTAACAAAAATATGTGTCTGTAATAATAACATTTTAAACTTTTATCAATGAGTTGAGAGTAATATGGACTCCATTTTATTAATAATATTTTTCTCAAGTACCATTCCAGTCATGACACATTATTTTTCTATGGGGAAACTATGAAGTGGTAAAGGCTTAAGATGATTTTTTTAAATGATGAAGAATATCTGATTAGAAAACTGGTCAGGAAATTCATACTTGGAAGTAGTATTTCTTCTATTTATAATGATAACTTTGGAAGAAATGAAAATTTCTAAAGACTTCTTATTTTTCAAGACCAAAGTTAACTTTTCACATTTGTGAAATATTAACATTAACCATGTAGATTTATTGGAACACAGTTTACATTCAGTGAAAGAATCTCAGTAAATATATTTAATATGTTTAATATGTTAGAAAAGACATTGTTCTATTTATAGGTACTTCCAGTCTGACTTGCATTCCAGTGCATCCTATGAAAAAAAATTTAGATATTCTATTTCTTATATTCCTTTTAGTAACATGAATATATAGGCCACTAAAGATCTCAACAGCAACCTAGAATCAATGTGAATCCTACACTTGGAGTTTCTACTGAATGGTGAAAGCAAAACACTTGAATTATGATAAGGAGCAATTGTTCAATTATTATATTTTGTCATAGGCAGCAATTCAACTATAAGGGTATCTCTTAAGTAGCATTTGATTTATTATAGTATATTGCAAGCCAGGACTAGAACCTACCATGTAAGGGCTGATGGCATCTACAAACCCTTTTTGGTTTTGAAGGTTGGTACACAACAACCACAGCTTCTAGCTGAGCACAATGAGCCCCAGATGACTGGAGTCCAGGCCATGCAGGACTTTAAAAACAGACCAATTTTAGAGCTTATAAAACAGCAATGATGAAGTTCTGTGTAACCCTGAGTAGGGGGGTTGTAGAGTAATTAATTGCTTAATGGTTACAAGTTTCTTTTTAGGGTGGGTAAAATGTTTTTAGTAATATGCAGCCAGGACAGCTGCACACCATGTTGTGAAATGTCACCAATGCAACTGAATCATACACCTAAAATGGTCAAAATGGCAGTCATATGTTATATATCTTTTGCTACAACAACAACAACAACAACAAAAAAAAAAAAACACCAGGCAAAGAAGTTCTATCTATTCCTTTTACTTATTACAGCTGAACCTTCTGAAGATGTTTAACAGGATTTGGTCCTAATGGATACCTTAGTCGCTGCTTATTTGAGTATTCCAACCTTGTATAATTCTATCCTATTTCTAAAACGTCTACAGGTAAAAACATGACGTAACTCAATTTATAAAAACAACAAATTTACTTGCCTAACGGCCTTTCTTTTTTCTTGCTGATCAGAAGAGACATAAGCCTTCATCTCATCAGTAGCACGACGAAGCTGTACTTCCAGGTTCTGAAGTGGAAAGGACTGAGTTTCAAGTTAAGTTCTTGATACGGAAATATCTCAGTAAAGTTTTTGATTCACTTTCTTTGTCTTACCTTAATCATGCAATTTGTATAATGGTATCTACTTTCTTCTTGAAGACATTCTTCACGGAGTCCTCTGACTTCCTACAATATATAATTTTAAATGAGCAACACTGTAATCAGAGGCAGAGATGACTTTAGATGTGCAAGAAAAGAAATGTCCTCATAGTCAGTTCCTCTTCTGTGGCTATAACTTTATTTAGTGAAACAGGCTAAGTTGTGATCTCTCATAGAGACTACATCACTCTAAATCCCACAAGTTTAGTTAATGGCTTATTAACTACTAAGCATGTGCCCAGCACTGCACAAGGTGCTGGGGAACAAGCAGTGGCCAAAACAGACAGGTCCCTGCACTCATTCAAGTAGAAGAAACAGACACAAGGAGAAAGTACATGATGAACACAGACAGGGTTAAGAGCTACAGAGAAAAGTCTGCAGTTGAATGTGACGGTGACGGAGCAGGCCACGTAAGGCAGCACCATCAGAGAAAACCTCTGTGAGGCAGTGATATTCGGGCTGAGACCAGAAAGAAAAGGAGAGCAAGGCAAAGAGTTGGGTGAAAAGTATCACAGAGAGAGAAGACAGAACACCTGTAAAGCCCTTAGGTGAAAACAAGCTTGGCCTGTTTGATGGTCACAAAGGCCAGTGTGGCTGGGCCCCTGTGGCTGAGGAGCAGAGCTCATGGTTTTAAAAATCCATCAATTTTAAGTGCAACAGGAAGCCAACGGAGGGCAGCCTGAGTTGTATACAGGTTTCTTTGGCTGCACCTTAGGACAACAGGAGCAGGTCTCTGTGCGAGCACAGAAACGTCAGGAGGGGGCCTGGACCTGGGTGGTGGCAGTGCAGACGGAGACGTCAGAATGCACACATCAAATCTGAAGAACTGAAGGTCTCTGGCGCTGAGGAGAGAGGCTCAGGGCACGAGGGTAAAGATGTGGGAATCTGTTGACACTGGTGTAGTGAAAGTAGGCACGCACACAGGCAGTTCCTGCTAAATTGTTAAAATAAAAATGGTCTCCTTACCTGTTCTAATTTGGACCGATTGCTTTCGAGGCCTGCGGCACAGCTATCATACTGGGATTTCTTTTCATCACACTCCTGGGTTAGTTCCTAGTATGAAAGGGGTAAATGATTGAATAAGTGAAAAACAAAGACCTAAGATGTGGCTCTGAAACAATGCACGCCCTTGTAAGTCTTGTAACTTAACTCTAAGCTTCTTGGCATACTTGAGTTATTTACACAACAATCGGACATTTGAGAATTATGACAGATGAAGGAGCTGATAAAAATAATAGCTACCATGTATTTAACTGTGTGCCAACCTCTTTGTTAGGAGTTGGGGACAACAGTGAACAAAATACCAAAAAACCCTTCCCCTCAAGTACTGTTTTGGCAAGTAAACAGGCTGCTGAGCACCACGATGAGCAAAGGCAAGACTTAAGAGCATGGGGGGGCTCTCACTGGGCTCACCCAGTCTTGGGGAGCAGTGTGGACATCCTCCTGTAAAAACTGAGGTCTAAGCTGAGGTATGAAGGATTAGGTCAGTAGTTAGGGAGAAGGTAGACAAAGAGAGGAGAATGTTCAAAAAGACAAACACTCTGCATAAAGGCGTGGGAGCTAGAGGAAAAAACAAGAATTTAGAATGTGCAAATTGTTTATTACCTGGAGTGTGTCTGGGAAGTATAAGAAGAGGCTGGAGACCTCAGCAGGGGCTGGTCAGAACTTTGCAAACTGTCAGGGGGGGCATGACAATAACGAATCTCAGAACAAGTCCTTGAGGTGGGTATTTCTGTCCCTACATCAAGTTTGAAGAACAATCAGGGAGTCCAGGTGCCTTGCCAAAGATTATGCTACTGAAAAGAGGTTTCAGAATTTGAACTCAAGCTGTTTGAATAGTTTCAAACTTTCCTCCAATGTCACATTTGATAAATTAGGTCACCTGAAAATCTGCTACAAAAACCTAGAAATGCTAAAAGTACCTGCAAATGTCTGATAAGGTAAAGCAAACATCCTTTCAGAACCAGAGCTGAACTGCACTCACAAGGAAGCAAGAGGACTCAGGGCCAAAAACAAGCATGGGGGCCCTGTGGCCGCCCCTGCAGAAGGGAGCAGGGCAGTCTGTGCTGCAGAATGAGAGCCCAGTGTCCAGCTGGAGCAGAAGACACCTGGGCAGAGTGGCATGTTAGAACCAAGACCCCCATAACTCCAGCTGTTTTTTTCAACCTGGGAACCTGTGAGGATAGAGTTAACACTAGGCTTGAACTCACACAGGCCAACCTCCGAATGACCTTGGTGCCACCCAGTGTGTTTGCTTGGGAAATGGAGAGTTACCATAAATGGCCAATGGGGTGTGTGTGCCCTTTGTTGTGTGGGACTCCATCTGATTTAGGGTGATCAGGACAGCACCAAGAATTTGGTGAAGAAAGGATTTACATATCAAAGGGGTCAGAGGGACCTATAGCTCTCCTGGGTGAGAGCAGCAAGTAGGAGTGGCAGCAAGGCCGAGTCCTTAGATAGCTGCTGGTCTCTCAACGAAATGAAGATGCTACTATAGACAAAAGTCTCTTTTTTGTCTGTGAGTCTGATAGGCCAACTGATAAGTAAATGCAGTTGTGATGCTGCAGAGGTGGATGAAAAAGGAGAGCCTGACCTCAGGCAGGATTGGGGTTTGCAAAAATTGACTCCACTGACATGGTCTAAGAACTTCCAAGCTGAGACATTAACTCAAAATGAGTTCCAAGCTGTGACAGTTCTAAAGCACCTGCCAGAACCGCTGCAAAACCACTCTGTAGGGACACGCCCTCTATCCTAGCTGCCAGGATTCAAAAGACAAAACTCCAAACATAAGCTTACAATCCCAAAGTATAAACAAGGAGGAAACAATCAATCCATTGAGTGAGAATCAGGAGTATATTTAAAAAAAAAAAAACAACAACCCAAAAACCAGCAACAAAAAACAAGCAGAACAATACATACTGATAGGAACTTCGGATAATATAAATTATCCTATTAAATAAGTCTGGTTAAAAGAAAGGAGGAACTGAAAACAAGATTTAAAAATATGCAGTGAATGGGAAGGTAGAGACTGGCATGGCCCCCATGGAAAACAGTACAGAGATTTCTCAAAATATTAAAAATTGGTCACTATATGATTCACTTCTGGGCGCTGACCTGAAGAATACAAAGCACTAATTTGAAGGGATATAAACTCACTGCAGCAATATTTACAAGAGCCAAGTTAGGGAAACAACCTAAATGCCCAAAGACGGATGAGTGGATTAGGAAGAAACGGTGTATATACACCATGGAATACTGCTCAGCTCTAGAAAAAGATGCGCACTTGGCATTTACAACACCGTGGATGTAACTAGGGGGGATTATGCTAAGCGAAATAAGTCACAGGAGAAAGATGAATACCAGATGGTTTCATTTATATATGGAATACAGAGAAACAAAACAAAGGATCAGATTAACCTAAACCAATAACAGATAATCCTAGAAATCTGACAGCAGGACTGAGGCTGGGAGCTGGGGAGGAGGAAAAGGAATGCAGAGTGGGGAGGGGCATACAATGAGTGATGGTGGGGGACTATGGGCACCCTGGGGTGGATGTGGTGTGGTAACACACATCTGAAGGGTGTCACCCTATACCTCTAAATCATAGACAGTGTGTATGTAAACCAATGATACCTCAATAAAGAAATTTTTTTTTTTTAAAGATTTATTTATTTATTTATACATGCACTGGGTACAGTCAGAAGCGCGGGAGGGTGAGAGAATTCACCAGAGCCAGAGCGGGGAGCAGAGCAGGCAGAAGGACCGAAGTACACTGCTGAGGGGAGCAGCGGGCGGCAGGAGAGGTCTGCGCGCCATGTGGGACCCTCCTCCCGTGGCCGGGGAGCAGCCGGGGATCGAGCCGGCGCTGCAGAGGCTGCGGGCAGCTTCGCAACCCAGCGCTCAACCGCCGCGCCACCGGAGAGGCCCAATAAAGAAAATTTTAAAAATAAATATAAAGATAAGCATAAAATATAGGAGTCAGGCCTTATATCAATGTTGGTGAGAGGAGTCAAATGTAATATACAGTGTGCTTCCACAAGTGGGTGGGTGAGGACATCATTTTCAGAAATGTGGAAACCTAAGGGTGGGGTGGGGAAGGCAGAAAGAGGGAACTCAAGACCCTGACTTGACACATGGTGAGTTTCAGATACCAATGAGATACCCAAATTGAAATTTTCTAGCCATTTCATGAAACATTTTTTTTTTAAAGATTTATTTATTTATTTATTTATTTATACATGCACTGGGTACAGTCAGAAGCGCGGGAGGGTGAGAGAATTCACCAGAGCCAGAGCGGGGAGCAGAGCAGGCAGAAAGACCGAAGTACACTGCTGAGGGGAGCAGCGGGCGTCAGGAGAGGTCTGGGAGCCATGCGGGACCCTCCTCCGGTGGCCGGGGAACAGCTGGGGATTGAACCGGCGCTGCAGAGGCTGCGGGCAGCTTCGCAACCCAGCGCTCAACCGCTGCGCCACCGGGGAGGCCCTCATGAAACATTTTTGGGCTTGATGATACAACTGAAAAACAAGCAAACACACACACACACACACACACACACACACACACACGGTATACATCTATATACAAATACACACACATATATACAGTGAATAAAAATAGACAAAAATGAAAAAAGTCATTGATATAAAAAATTAAGTAGATGTCATATATGTAAGATGAGACACAGCTCAGGAGATAAAGAACTAGAAAACAGAGCCCAAAAATTATCCAAAATTCACCATAGAGAGACAGAAAGATGAAACTGTTACAGTGAGTTTAAGCAACAGGGAACAGAATAAGAGGAGTTTCTAGAGAACAGACTAAAAACAACAGGGGAGAGGACATTCGAAGATATTATGTAGAATTTTCCAAGAATTAATGGAAGACAAAAAGCACACAGTCCAGCAGAGCAAATAAAACTAAATCTATATTAGATTATATTATATTAGAACAACACCAAAGACAAAGACAAAAATATTAAAATCAATTACAGGGAAGACACTACCTAAAAATAAATTATAAATTAAATGGCAGACCCTTAAACACAACGAGAAACCGAAATGCAATGAAAATAATTTTTGACCAAGCAATTACTTAAGAAGAGGGAAAAAAAGATGTTTTACTTAATGTGATGATTATCTATCGAGAGAACAACTAAAAGAAAACAAAACAAATTTAATTTTAGGAAGCAGGAAACTAAATCCAGAAGCAAGGATTAAAACACAAGAAGCAATGGTGAGAATTGCTAGATATGTGGGTAAACCTAAACAGGAAATGACTGTAAGTAATAACTGAATTAGTAATGACCACCACAATGGCCACTTCTAGGGATGAAGAAATAGAATGGAAATAAAACGCCACCTGATCAGCAGGAGAGAGAAGGTATTAAACCACTCAAAGGACCCTGTATGGTTGGGAGAGGCTGATTAACTTTAGACTTTGTTAAGTCAGGAAAATATATGCTCAAAATTTAGAAGTAAATAATATCAGAATATAAGGACAGAAAAAATGACAATGGGTACTTTGGTGGTGGGCACACTATGGCAGTGCCCGGTGGGGGGATCTACACTTCCATTATGGAAACAACAGCTCAAACCAACATTAATGCAAAGAAAAAGCACAGTAAATAGGATGAACAAAATAGAAATAAGTCCAAATGTATCACCAGTCAGAGTAAAGGCATAGGGGATGAAACTCAGTGGCTAAAAGCCAGATTCTCAAACTGGATGTAAGAAACTATACCCACAAAAAAACCAGCTGTATACTTTTTACAAGACATGTACAGAACAAATATAAGGATACTGAAAACTGAAGGTAAACAACACAAAAAGACAAGGAAAAAAACACTAGTAAGAAAGCTGGCATACTTACATTAATAACTGACAATGTAAAACTGCTAGACAAAAAACATTACCAGAAATAGAGTCCAAAAAAAAACGATAAAAGGGGCCTCCCCGGTGGCGCAGTGGTTGAGTGCTGGGTTGCGAAGCTGCCCAAGGCCTCTGCGGCACCGGTTCGATCCCCGGCTGCTCCCCGGCCACCGGAGGAGGGTCCCA